CAGTCACGAATGAAGCATCCAGGACCCCTACTCGTTCCTCTATAACTGAGAGTTGACTGGCCCAGACCCACCTGGAAAAATCTATAGAATGATCCAGGGGCTGTGGGAAGGCCAGAACCCCTTCTCCCCAGGCAAGTAGTGAGCACCGTGAGCCTGGAAGTATCCAAGCCTATGCTGTTGACCACCATCTGGGCAATGTAGAGTGGGGGTCACACACCGAGGCCTGAGGGCTGCACACAGCCTGCAGGAAATGCTCTATTTGGCATGCACAGTGACGGTGGGTTTTTTTAAATTGTTTTAATGTTTATTTTTTGAGAGAAAGAGAGAGACAGAGAGACAGAGCACGAGTGGGGGAGGGGCAGAGAGAGAGGGAGACACAGAATCCGAAGCAGGCTCCAGGCTCTGAGCTGTCAGCACAGAGCACGACTCAGGGCTGAAACCCACGGACAGTAAGATCATGACCTGAGTCGAAGTCAAATGCTCAGCTGACTAAGCCACCCAGGTGCCCCTGCACACATGATGTTTTTAAGACTTTTATTTTTAATTAAATTTGAATCCTTTATGGGTACCATCTTAGTAAAGTGATCAAATTTCACATCACCGATTACAGGACGGTCTTACAACATAGGCCCTTGATGGGATGTACAGAGGAGGGCACAGCATCACCTATATATACACCATTCCTGCCAGGAAGGTGTGGAGAGGAGGCAGTTTATGCAGGGCCTTGTAGGCCATCATAAGAATCTGGCTTTTACTATGAGAAAAATGAGGCCTATAAGAGTGACATGGTCAGATCTTGTTTAAAGGGATTCCTTTGGCTACTCTGTTGAGAGACTGGGGAGAGGAGGTGGTGCAGAAAGGTAGAAGCAGGGAAACAAATCAGTGAGCTTACTGACAGGTGAGAATACAAGCTTGGGCCACCATCTGACGGCGGCAGAGGTGGAGAGGTGGCTGAATTCTGGATCTACTATGAAGGTAGCATCAATAGATTTTGCTGATAGATTGGATAGGGGGAGTGAGAGAAAGAGGAGTCCAGGATGGCTCCAAGGCTTTGGCCTAAGCCTCGGAAAGATGGCATTGCCCTAAGCCTCGGAAAGATGGCATTGCCCTGACCTGAGATGGGCCAAGAGTTCGAAGAGGGAAGGTCAGGAGCTCAGTGTTGGACGTTGTGGGTGAGAGATGCCTGTCGCACATGCCACCTGGGCATGAGGGTTGTGGGCAGGCCTGAGCATAGAAAGGGGGCCTGAAATGGGGCGCCTGGGTGGCTCAGTCAGTTAAGCCTCCAACTTTAGCTCAGGTCGTGATCTCACAGTTTGTGAGTTTGAGCCCTGCATTGGGCTCTGTGCTGACAGCTTTGAGCCTGGAGCCTGCTTCAGATTCTCTATCTCCCTCTCTCTCTTCCCCTTCCCCACTTCCTCTTTCTCTCTCTCTCTCTCTCTCTCTCTCTCTCTCTCTCTCTCTCTGTCTCTCTCTCTCTCTCTCAAATATAAACAAACATTAAAAAAAAATTTAGAAAAAGAGGGCCTGAATGACCATGGGGGGCCTCCTTTGAACCCAGACTCTCTCCCTTTGATATCTTTTTGCCTCCCCTACACCCAATTATTTCTGGTTTCCCAGGCCCTCAGGGTTACTGAGCCGACCTAGAGCCTGGCAAAGGCACTTTCACCCAGGTGACTGGTGTGCAGGGCTGGCAGCACCCAGGTGATGTCGCCTGGTTAATTCCCTGCTTCTTGTGTGACCTGTGGGGTGTCATCCGGGGTAGCAGCCTCTGAATGTGGGGATGGTGGAGCCCTGCAGGCCATGGGGACTTGTCTTACACCCGCTGTAACCTGACTCTGCTCCCAGGAGCTGGTCACAAATGCTGCCAGCTTCTCCGCTTTGGGTTGCCTTTCGGTGATCCCGGGAAACCAGGGACAGTGGAGCTCTGATGGGCAGCAGCACTTGGGGGCCGTGGGAAGGGAGTTTGGTGCCACCTTGCAGGCAAGCCAGAGAACAAGGCCTTGGGGTTGTTATAGGAAAAAAGAAATGCAGTCTAAATGCTCACACAAAAGGACTGCTACACTAACTCAAGAGAACCATGCCATGAAGTACTAAAACCATTAAAAAGACAAAGGCAGACCCACCTATACTAAGACATTTTAAGGAAACAAGAACCATTTGACAAATATTTATTGAGTGCTTACTATGGGCTAGGCAGTGTTTTCAGTGATGGGGCTAATGGTAGAGTGGGGGAACAGCTAAACATTTAGTCTATTTGTTATATGTATATCCTTGTAAATGAGCAGAAAAGGCCTCTTAGGACCTAGATTGTTAACAGTGATTACCCTTCTCATCTTGGGGAAATAGCACACAAGTTGTTGTTGTTGTTGTTGTTGTTTTAATTTTAAATACTCCTGTATTGTTTGAATTTTGTGCAGTGAGCATATATGATTTTTATAATTTTGTTCCAAGTTATTTATTTTGAGAGAGAGAAAGTTGGGGAGGGAGGGAGGGAGAGAGAGAGAGAGAGAGAGAGAGAGAGAGAGAGAGAGTATCCGAAGCTGACAGTGCAGAGCCCAATGTGGGGCTTGAACTCACCAACTGTGAGATCATGACCTAAGCTGACGTTGGATGTTTGACTGACTGAGCCACTCAGGCACCCCAACTTTTATATTTTTAAAGAGTGTCCTGCCCACCAACACATATACAACACTTACATATACAAATAAAAAGCCTTCAGGGTGAGGCGCCTGGTTGGCTCAGTTGGTTGAGCGTCTGACTCTTGGTTTCAGCTCAGGGCATGATCTCATGGTTTGTGGGTTTGAGCCCCGCATTGGGCTCTGTGCTGGGGGTGCAGATCCTGCTTGGGATCCTCTCTCTCCCTCTCATTCTGCCTCTCTCTCTCTCTCAAAAAAAGAAAAAAAAACAAAAAACAAAAAGAAAAAAGAAAAGAAAAGAAACTGTCAGGGTACAAAAAAGGTTTGGAGGCTCTAAGCAAAGTTCCCCAGAATCTAGGCTCAGATCTCAAAAGATCCCCCTTTGTTCTCCATTCTGGGGTATTCAGCAGTTCAAAGCGAGGCGGGATTGAAAGAGCTGGCAAGGCAGTAGATCTATTCTTTAATCTCAGATGAGCTATGGCCGGGCTGTGTGGCCTTAGGCAGGTCCCTCCGCCTCTCTGTGTGCAAGCTTCCTCTGTAAAATGAGGAGGCTGAACCACACTTACTCCCAAGGGTAAGTCACTTTTTTCTTATATGCAACACCAGCTAATTGACTATAGCTACCTGCAGATGTGATAAGGGGTCCTATGCTCAGCCATATCAGGATCATGATTGATTAGCAATTACTGTTGTGGACACACTGTGGGTAAGAGATGGACCAGATGACAGATTACTTGGAACTAGGTGGTCTCGGAGGGCCACTTATTCTCGGGATTGAGATAGTCTCACCTTGAAGTTGAGGTTGTCAGTGAACATGCTGCACATTTGTAGGTATCAGGAACATATCAGTCTGTATTACATACGGGGTGCTGGCACCAGCTGCTACCATCTCATGAGAGCCCATTACTAAATTTTCAGGAATTTTGCAAGCTGGCTGTTCAACTGTTGGTAGCCTGTCTGGCCACGGTGGGTATACTTACAAGATGGAAATTGGCTAGCACTACAAAATCAGGGTTGTTTGTTTATTTTTCCAAAGAGCTATTCTACCAGCACACCACTGAACATTGTGCTAATATGACATGCCCTTTTTACCTTCTCACCCAGATGAAGGGTAACCGAGCAGCCTGCTTTGCCTGGGAACTGTCCTGGTTTTAGTACTGAAACTCCTAATCTTGGGAAATCCCTCAGTCTAGGGCAAACTGGGATGACTGGTTACCTTGCAATCCTTTCCCATGAGGTGAAGGGAGCCAACATTTGTTGATGAGAGTCTGAGAGCTCTGCTAGAGAACCCATGTAAATACTCCAGCAGTAGACGCTGCAGGACACCCTCAGATACCCCCCAGGGGCAGAGTCCTCCTTCCCCTTGCTGCCAGGAGCATTGGTCACTGATGGCTCACAGCCAGGCACTGTTGTCTGTCAGAAGGAGCTGCCTAGCTCAGTGGGCAACCCAGAGCTAATGACTGCTTGATACAGGAGTCCAAAGACCCAGCCTCTTTGGACAACTCTGAAGGGCCATACTAGCTCCAGAGATCCCCATGGGATCACTACAAGCCTTGCCTTGTTCAACTTGAAGAAGTTCAACTTCTTCTGCAGTTGAATCCAGAAGATTCCTTCCTTCCTTCCTTCCTTCCTTACAGATGCTCATCCCAAGAGTATTCCCCCAAAATCACTCACATGCAATCTTGGCTTCCTAGGGACCCAAGACTATCCTTGAGGCACTCGGAAACCACTGCAGGGTTTTAGGCGGGGTCACCTGATCAGATCTACATCTTATTAAGATAACGACTCTGGCAGCAGCAAAGGGTGGACTGCAGCATCAGGGGAGGCGGGAGACTAGGGGAGATGCTGTTGTAGTTAACCAGGAGGCACTGGTGCAGCCTGGACTAGATGGACGGGGTGAAGATAAAGAGAAGTGGGGGAAATTAAAGAAATATTCAGAGTCAGGTCTGTCTGTTTCCAAAGCCCAAACAATTTCCATTATTCTGCTGCCCCCAAAGATGTCTCAGGCCTGGTTTGCTTTCTCAGGGACACTGGGTCCATGGTATTTATCAAGGTGGGTTAGAGTTGAGCTGGGATGGGTCCCCTATATTTAGGAGCATCTATATAGGTATCTGTGGCATAAGGGCAAGCTTGTTCACTGCTGTGCATTCCTGGTTTACATGGCCCAATTTTGGTGCACCTGGACAAGAGCCACTGACTTCTGGACTCTCGGTTGCTCAGTCCCCTGCCTGCCATTCTCCATCTTAAACAATGTCTGAGATCTGCTGATGACACTTCCATAGTCCTGTCAAAGATCTTGTGCTGACATCTGACACTATGGTAAAGGATTTGAGGAAGGACCAAGAATGGCTATTAGACCAAATAGACAAGATATAGATGAGATAGCTGTATAAGAGGTAAGAAGTGACAAATGTCTCAAGCAATGAGAGTATGGAGGAAAAAAGATACTCCAGGAAGGTTTTCTGGAGGAGATGACTTTGAAGCTGGGCTTTGGTGGATTTAGGAAGACAAAACTAGGAGGGTGAATTGGGACCAGGTCATGAAGACAATGGACTGTCAGGTCAGGACTTCCATAGGCAGCGGGGACCACAGGAGAGGAGTTAGCCCTGATTCTTCTCTCTCCATCTCTGTTCAGTCCTCCAGGGACACTGGTGTTCAGACCTCAGACAGTTTCCTGGAAATAGGCAGGTGTCACTGGCCAGAGGGGGTGATGTTCTCAGTGTCCATTCTGTATTTGGAGGCAAAATTCCTGGTCTGGGCCACATGTCTCTTCTCTGGGTCAAAGTGGGTTCTGGATCTCCTAGACTTCCCTTGGGTTTCTGAAATGGTCCGCTCCCTTCAGAGCTGAGGTCTGGATGAAGGATTGCAAACCTTTAGCTCGTAAGGGATGTTCTCAGATTCCTAGAGGCGTAGAGGAGAAAGCACTGGTCAGGACACCTCGCTGTGACCACCAACAGCTGCTGTACTTGAAGCAAGTAATTTAAATTCTTAGTTTTGATTGTTCCAACTATAAAATCACAATGATGACACCTATACCTGTTAGGGTATTTTTTTTGTCTGTGGGAAACAGAAAACCCTAACTCCAAGTGAAATAAATAAGCATTTTCTATAGAAATATAATGTGGGCTACAGATGCAATTTAAAATTTTCTAGTAGCCACATGTAAAAAGGTGAAATTAATTTTAACAATATATTTTATTTAGGGGCACCTGGATGGCTCAGTTGGTTAAGCGTCTGACTCTTGATCTCAGCTTGATTTCAGGGTCTGAACTTGAGCCCTGCGTTGGGCTCCATGTTGGGTGTGGAGCCTCCTTAAAAAATATATATTTTATTTGACCCATTGACCAAAATACCATCTCTACATGTAATCAATATATAATTATTAGTGATGTATTTTACATTTTTTTGGTGCTAATTCTTTGCAATCTGGTGCTCAATAACCACCTGTGTCTCCTGGCTGCCATGTTGGACAGTACAGACTTAAACAATAAGGATATTTATAATCTCACATAAAGAAGAATCCAGAGGTAAGAGAGTCTCAGGATTGGTTAACTTGGAGGCTCAACAATGTCAACAAGGACCCAGGGTCCTGCCATGTTCTGCTCTGCATCCATATAGTGTCAACTCTATTCTCAGTGGCTTCATGGTACTAGGTTGGCTGCCACAGCTCCAGGGGTCACCTCCACATGCAGCAATACCCAGCAGCAGAAGAGTGTATGCCTGCATGTTTCTCCTTATAAGAACTAGGAACTCTTTCCTGCCTCCCTGGCCCGCCCCCCAGCAAACTCTCCCTCCGGTCTCAATGCTGGATTTCATCAAATGCTCACATCGAATCCAATCATTGGCAAGGTAAGTAGACATGAAGTCTGGCTGAGAGCAATCAGGATTTACCCCTGGATAAGGAACCTTTCTCTGAGGCCCAGGAAGGAGGTCTGGGCCCTTGAACAGAACAAGGTTCCATCAGCAAAGGAGAAATCCGCTATTGGGTAACCACTGGGATCTGCATGACACCTGCCAGGTACAGCATGTCACAGGTTTGACAGAAGGAACGGAGCCAACTGGTTAACGAGAGGCTAGTGTAGAGTTTTGCAGCTCTTACTCAAGTTGCATATTTGAGCCATCAGAGGTGCTTTAAAAAACTCCAGTGTCCACGTCGGTTAAGTCATAATCTCTCCCCCAAAGGGTGGATCTTGTACTATAAATATGGTTTCCAGAAACTACTCTCTCATGTGTGTCTAGAGGGTGTGGAGGCAGGTCTCATTGATGAAGAGACCCCCCCCCCCAAATTTTCTTCCTCCCAAGGACAGAAACTTTAAGGCCTCCTGGGTCAGAGATGTGGCCAAAGCAGCCAAGCCTGGGCATCCCAGCACATAAGCCTGCTTTCTTACAAGCAAGCAGACGTAGGTGGAAAATTGGAGCTGGGCTCGTTCTCTCCCTCTGAGTTCTTTCTGTCCTCCCCGGCTCCTTTTCAACTCTCCAGTTAATCCTTTCTGGGCGAGCTTTTCTGAGCAAAGATTCTAGCCTGCCAAAACTAGCCTTTATTGAGCACTTACTGTGTACTAGCTGCCTCACATATGGTTCATTTATTCCTTGGTCCGCCAATCCTCCCTCACCACCTAAGGCCTGGACCATTATCACTCTGCATCACTGGTGTGGCTGCCTAACATTTATTTCTGTGGTGGTTGCTTAAATCTAGTCTATCCTTGGCGCTCAATTCTATGCCTCTTGAGGGTGGAGATCATGTCTATTTATCACTGTGTCCCTAGTATCTAACACCAAGAATTCCAGGTCCATAGCAAATACTCGTTAAATTCAAACAAGTGAATGAACAATGATCTAAAGTATGTATCATTATCTCCATTTTAAGAAGGACAAGCTGAGGCTCAGCAGGCTTAAATAGTTCGACATGTTTTAGAACTATTTGGCATCAGGGGCGCCTGGGTGGCGCAGTCGGTTAAGCGTCCGACTTCAGCCAGGTCGCGATCTCGCGGTCCGTGAGTTCGAGCCCCGCATCGGGCTCTGGGCTGATGGCTCGGAGCCTGGAGCCTGTTTCCAATTCTGTGTCTTCCTCTCTCTCTGCCCCTCCCCCGTTCATGCTCTGTCTCTCTCTGTCCCAAAAATAAATAAAAACGTTGAAAAAAAATTAAAAAAAAAAAAGAACTATTTGGCATCAGAGTCAAGGTTGAAACCCAGCTTATTCTGTACTAAACCAGAAGGGCAACTGCAGGGAGAAGATGGTATTCAGGTTTTATTAACTTTAGGAGCCTGGTCTGAGGGACAGAACAGTATTTACCAGCCTTTTACATGCACCCCAATCATTTCCAGGGTTTGGGCTGCTAAATCTAGACCTGACCACATTGGCAGCCACCGCCAGTCACTATTGAGTACTTACCGTGTGCTGAGTCATGAAGGAAAAAAGAAAATGTGGTTCCTGCCCCTGGAAGAATGGAAGGGTATCACTGCAGAGATACAGATTCATCAGACGTTTACTGTAGGCTTCCTTGGGGCCTGGGAATTGTGCTAGATGCTGGGATCATAGCAGGAATAAGCTGGATATGGCTCCCTCCCTCTTGGAAGCCAAAGTCCAGTGGGAAAGGCTTATGGTGGACAAATGACCTTAACAGTTATTTAATTGCAATTGGGAAAAGTGCCAAGAAGAACAGGGAGACATGACATCATATGGCAGTACTCAGGGGGCAGGGTTCAAGAAACCCTCCTGGATGAAGTCATATTTAAGCTGAAACTTGAAATATCAAAAGAAGTTGGCCAGGGGAAGAGAGAAGGGAAGAGCATGCTGAGAAGAGGTGGAGGGGGGCGGGAGCATGTGCAAAGGTCCTGAGGTGGAAAGGCAAATGTGACTGGAGAGGGGGTCAGAGGCAGAGAATCCTGCCTCTTACCCTGAGGGCAGTGAGAATCCCTGTAGAGTCTACAAGGCCAAGTGAGGGGCCAGCCCAAAGGTGATCAGGAAGCACTTCCTTCCATAGAAAGCTCATCTTAGCCAGATGGCTGTGGGCAGGGTCCTCCTTTTCCCTCTCTTCAGATGCAGATGCTGCGTTCTTCCAGTCCCCAGGGAGAGCTGTCCTGTCTTAGAGAGAGTCAGGCTGGGGATGGCCCCAGCACTTGGCTTTTCCCCCTTCCCAGGGCCCCGTCACTCCCAGTCTCCCCTGGGTGTCTGTGCCTCTTGCCACTTGCTTGTAAGTTTCCTAATATAGCCTGGCCGTTTCCTCCCCAGCTGGTGGCCAAGAGCAATCTCAGTTTCTCTTGGGCTTAAAGGGACCATGTCAGCCCATCTCACGCCAACTTTAAGCTAAAGGTAGATTGGTTGATTTAATTTCACAAACGTGTCCAACCCAGAGATTAGATGTCCTCTGTCTTTCTCCCAGGTTACCAACTTCTCTGCTCCATTCTTGTTCACTTTCTCCTTTCACATATTTGTTTTTCTTCTTTCTTCTGAGCACAGTAAGGAGCACAGCTGGACATGGATGGGAGTTTTGGTATATTTATTAGCTTTGTCACCTTGGGTGAGTCTTATAGGAACCATTAAATACCTCTCTGGGAGTGAGCTGTGCAGATTTCTGGAGGAAGACTGTTTCAGGCAGAGGGAGCAGCAAACAGAAAGGCCCCGAAGCAGGGGCATGGCTCATGGAACGGGAGGAACAATAAGGAGGACTTTGTGGCCAGAGTGGAGTGAGGGAAAGGAGGAATGGAGGGATGTGAGGACAGAGGAGCGATGGGGATGAGATCAGGTTAGGTCTGTGGATCACTAAGGACTTCAGCTTTTCCTCTGAATGAGAAGAGGCAGAGCAGTGTCGTGATTTTTGACTTTATTACATTTGGACAGAATCCCTGTGATTAGTGAGCTAGGAATGGACAGAGGCGCACGGACAGAGAGAGACCAGCGTGGCAGCCATTATGAAAATCCAGGACGAGAGACAACAGTGGCTCAGGCTACCGCCTAGTAGCAGGGGGGTGTGAGAAGTGGCCGGATTTCAGATTCACTTGGAAAGGAGAGTTGACAGGATTTTCCAATGGCTATTTGCAGAATGCTGTGCTGGAGTGGTTTTTTTCTTAAAAATTTATTTACAAATTAGATTATTTATTACATCAAGGTATAGTTTCCAGGCAGAGAATTCATTTTAAGTGCACGGTCTTGACAAATGTATACACCTGTGTAACCACCAGTACAATCAAGGTGTAGAACATTTCCATCAGTTCGGAAAGTTCCCTTGTACCCCTCTGTGGTAGATCCCTCCTACCTGCAGCCCTGGTAACCACAGATCTGCTTTCTGTCACTATACTTTAGTTTTTTTCCCCCAGGCTTTTATGTAGTTGGAATCGCACAGTTTGTATTCTTTCATCTCTGGCTTTATTCATTTAGCATGTTTTTGAGATCCATCCGTGTTGGATATGCCAGCAGTCTATTCCTTTTTTTTTTTTTTATTTTTTTTTTAACGTTTTATTTATTTTTGAGACAGAGAGAGACAGAGCATGAACGGGGGAGGGGCAGAGAGAGAGGGAGACACAGAATCAGAAGCAGGCTCCAGGCTCTGAGCAGTCAGCACAGAGCCCGACGCGGGGCTCGAACTCACGGACCGCGAGATCGTGACCTGAGCTGAAGTCGGACGCTTAACCGACTGAGCCACCCAGGCGCCCCAGTCTATTCCTTTTTAACGCTGACCAGTATTCCACCGTGTGGCTGACCACCGTCTATCCATTTACCAGTTGATGGACATTTGGGTTGTTTCCATTTTTTTAAAAAAATTTTTAATTTATTTATTTTTGAGAGAGAGAGATACAGAACACAAGCACGGGTAGGGCAGAGAGAGACAGGGAGACACAGAATCCGAAGCAGGCTCCAGGCTCCGAGCTGTTAGCAGAGAGCCCAATGCAGGGTTCAAACCCACAAACCATGAAATCATGACCTGAGCTGAAGTCGGACGCTTAGCCAACTGAGCCACCCAGGAACCCGGGGTTGTTTCCTTTTTTGTTGTTGTTTCCTTTTTAATCTTCCCCAAACCCTAGAAGGTGGGTATTATTTTTCCATTTTCCAGATAAGCAAGTTGAAAATCTGAAGAAGTAACTTGTCCAAGGTTCTAAAGATTAGATATTTGAGATCAGTTTGTCTCTGACTGCAAGTTTCTGTCTGTCCCCTTGCCTCCCATATAATGTGACCACATGTGAATGAGCTTAGAAAGGGGAACACATTAGTTTTAACTCTCCACTTTCTCATCCCCTGGACCACGTTCTCTTTGCTCTGCTCTCTGCACCTGCCACACAAACCCATTCTCCCACTTCCTCAGCTTGAGTCAGACCTCCTTCCCTACTAGGTGACTTTGGGCAAGTCACACAATCTCTCTGAATCATCCACCTGTGAAATGGAGATCATATTTGCATCTTCTTCTATGAGATCATGTCCAGTGATATCTCCTTTCTCTCTCTCCACTTCCCTTTGGCCCTTTTATAGCTCATATTCCATGGTCATTGGCTTTCCACGGCTGGTCACTGACAGGAGGAGAGCTCTGATGTCCCCCTCACTGCTGGCTGTGTGCCTGCCTGTAGAGAGGCTGCAAACAAATTAAGCCAGACTTTCTGGTGGTGAGGCCCAGAAACTGGTATTTTTTAGAGCTTCTGAAGGGCAGCCAGGATAGAGAACTGGGGGCTCAGAGTGTGAACTTCGGGCATCAGATAGACTTGGGTTTGGATTCTGCCTCCTTGGTCAAGTCACTTAACCTCTCAGACCACCAACTTCCTCTCCTGTAAATGAGCATCGTCAAGGGACCCACCTGATAGGAACTTTGAGATGTTTAAATGAGCCCTCGGCACTGTACGTGACTCTTAATGCAGTCTCTTCATGCAGAAAGTGATGGGGGCGGGGTGGGAGTAGGGGCCCAAGGTGGAGTAGCCTGGGCTGGGAGGGACCAGATAGTATAGAGTCATAGGGACATGCTGTCCTTCCCCTGCAGAGTCACAATGCAGGTCCTTCTAGAATTCCAGTGTCTCAGAGTTAGGCCAAACTTTAGAGAGTTTCATATCTAACATGTCATTGACAGGGCAATCGAGGCCTTAAGAAGGGAAGAGAGTTGCCCAAGGTCACACAATGAGATGGAGTTTCTGGGGAGGTTCAGCCAATCAATCAGCAAATATTTACAGAGCACCCCTATGTGCCAGGCCCTATTGTAGATGCTGGGGCTACATCAGAGACCAAAACAGGAAAGATCCCTGCCCTCATGGATTTCCATTCTAGTGAGGAAAGAAAAGCAATAAATGCAACAATGAAGTCATATGATATGTTAGAAGAGGATACATACTATAGAAAACAGTAGATAAGGGGTAGATAAGGGTGCTTGTGCTCAAGCAGATGGCAATTTTAAATAGGGTGGTCAGGATAGGCCTCACTGGGCAGAGACATGAAGCGTATCTGGAGGAAAGGAGTTCCAAGCAGAGATACCGGCCAGTGCAAAGGCCCGAATGGGAGCATGCCTGTTGGGTTGAGCTTAGGAATCCCTTACCTGGCCAGCCGTTTCAGTTCCCTAGACATCCTGGGCATTTGCTGGAAAGAAGGCCATTTGGGGCCTTTTTTGGTTAACCAGGGTAAAGTATCAGCTCGTGTTAAAACAAAGGCTCTGAATTTCCCCCCTCAACTCCGTGAACACTATGGCAGATACTGTCCTGCATGCTGAAGGCATAAAGATGAAGTCAGGGAGCTGGCTTTCGGCAGGCTACTCACATAGGCTCTTGTTCCCAGGAGCTCACGTGCTCACACCGATGGACACGCAAGGCCTGCACTGATGATACCTCCTTGTACATGCCATTATCCTGTACACACACTGTCTTACATGGTCTCAGTTTCCCTGCTGCCCACAACCTCATACACTCAGCCTCAAGTGCCACATCTTATTCTGTGCTTTAACACTCAGACAGCCTTGCATACTTAGAACATTTCACATCCCCATGATGTCACCTCCACAGGAACTTGGGCACTTAGCCCACCTTGCACGCTATGATGACTACGCGCATGCATTTAACCTCACACATAGATGTACCTGCTCCCACAAGTCCGCACGCTTTGAAACTCTACTGGTTTTGCACCCTCACTCAATTTTGCCTTTCCTTTCATACGCAAGACCTCAAATACTCGCATGACCTTACGTTACATCTCATTACATCACACTCATGTGATCTCGGTCACCCTCTGCGCACACACTGCCTCGCACACTCATGATCTGACAGCCTCCCAGGACCCTGCACACTCCCACAAATGCAAATATTCACACTACGGCACAAACTCACTGTCTTGCCCACTCATGCTCTTGCACAATCTGTGCACTCGTTCAAATTCTCACTCACCGAACCTCATCTGCTCGGGCAACTTCGCACTTTAAAACTGACTCACCCCGCCTGGCATACTCGTGACCTTGCTGTGCTCCTACCAACAGAAATATTCATACCATGCCGCAGACTCCTTTTGGCCACTCACTCGTTTAACCGCACGCTCACGCAGCGTCACACGCTGACGCCCACTCGCGCGACCTCACTGTGGCCGCCGGGAATAGTCCCGCCACTGCGCTGAGCAGAGGGCGGTCGCACTTCTGTCCTCGCACCCTCACGGACCACGCGCCCCCTCCCCCCTTGTCGCCCGCCCTCCCACCCGCGCGCTCGTCGCCCCGGCCCGCCTCGCCCCGCGTCCGCAGGGCCCTCCCAGCCGCCCACTGACGCGCCCTCTCCTCGCCCGCAGGGACCTACCAGGGCCAGTTCACCAACGGCATGCGCCACGGCTACGGCGTGCGCCAGAGCGTGCCCTACGGGATGGCCGTGGTGGTGCGTTCGCCGCTGCGCACGTCGCTCTCGTCCCTGCGCAGCGAGCACAGCAACGGCACGGTGGCCCCGGACTCGCCCGCGTCGCCCGCCCCCGACGGCCCGACGCCGCCCCCGGCCGCCATCCCGCGCGGCGGCTTCGCGCTCAGCCTGCTGGCCAACGCCGAGGCGGCGCGGGCGCCCAAGGGCGTTGGCCTCTTCCAGCGGGGCGCGCTGCTGGGCCGGCTGAGGCGCGCGGAGTCGCGCACGTCGCTGGGCAGCCAGCGCAGCCGCGTCAGCTTCCTCAAGAGCGACCTCAGCTCCGGCGCCAGCGACGCCGCGTCCACCGCCAGCCTGGGCGAGGGCGCCGAGGGCGCGGAGGGCGCCGACGAGGCCGCGCCCTTCGAGGCCGACATCGACGCCACCACCACCGAGACCTACATGGGCGAGTGGAAGAACGACAAGCGCTCGGGCTTCGGCGTGAGCGAGCGCTCCAGCGGCCTCCGCTACGAGGGCGAGTGGCTGGACAACCTGCGCCACGGCTACGGCTGCACCACGCTGCCCGACGGCCACCGCGAGGAGGGCAAGTACCGCCACAACGTGCTGGTCAAGGGCACCAAGCGCCGCGTGCTGCCGCTCAAGAGCAGCAAGGTCCGACAGAAGGTGGAGCGCAGCGTGGAGGGCGCCCAGCGCGCCGCCGCCATCGCGCGCCAGAAGGCCGAGATCGCCGCCTCCAGGTAGGCCCCCGGGGGCTGGGCGCAGGCGGGGTGGGCCCCCGCCGGGAAAGGGGGTCGCGGGGGCAGGGCGACCCTGGAGGCCCGGTCTCCAAGGCTGTTCTGCTTCTTTCACCGTCAGGGCTTCTCCCCGACCTTTAGAGAGTTAACTGGAGGTGCTTCTGGTCCCCTGTCCATCCACCCATTCATCCAACCCTCCATTCAGTAACCCTTCCGTTCATCCAGCCTTTCTAAGAGCCACCTGGACGACCATCTCTTCACCCCAACCACCCACGCCACTTTCTGATTACACATTCAACCCCCAGCCACCAGTCCAGCCACCCAGTCATCCATTCATTCTCCCAGCCCCTTCATTCACCTAACTTCTCCACTACCCGCCCGAACAACCACCTCCAGTCACTCAGCCTCTGTAACATCTACCTGGACAACCACCCACCCACCCAACCACTTCCTCCTCCACCCCCACCCACCCATCCAACTTTCTATCCTTTTACCCGCCCAACCCTCTATTCATCCACCTGTCCACCCAACCGCCTAGACACCCGCCCATTCAACCACCCATCAACCCCTTATTCACCAGCCACCCATGTTCACTCACCTACTACTCCTATCCACCAAGCCACCCATCTTTTGATTGATTTATTATTATTATTATTATTATTATTATTATTATTATTATTTTAATTTACATCCAAATTAGCATGCAGTACAATAATGATTTCAGGAATCGAATCCAGTGATTCATCCCCTATGTATAACACCCAGTGCTCATCCCAACAGATGTCTTCCTTAGTGCCCCTTACCCATTTAGCCCATCCCCCCACCCACAACCCCTCCAGCAACCCTCAGTTTGTTTTCTGTACTTAAGAGTCTCTTAATGTATTTTTGCTTCCCTTCCCTTATGTTCATCGGTTTTGTATTTTAAGTTCCTCATATGAGTGAAGTCATCTGATATTTGTCCTTCTCTGACTAATTTCACTTAGCATAATACCCTCTAGTTCCATCCATGTAGTTGCAAATGGCAAGATTTCATTTTTTTTTAATCTCCGAGTAATATTCCATTGTGTGTGTGTGTGTGTGTGTGTGTGTATACATATATATATATATATATATGTATATACACCACATCTTCTTTATCCATTCATTCATCGATGGACATTTGGGCTTGTTCCATACTTTGGCTATTGTTGATAGTGCTGCTATAAATGTTGGAGTGCATGTGCCCCTTCAAAACAGCACACCTGTATGCCTTGGATAAATACCTAGTAGTGCAATCGCTGGGTCTTAGGGTAGTTCTATTTTTAATTTTTTGAGGAAGCTCCACACTGTTTTCCAGAGCGGCGGCACCAGTTTGCATTCCCACCAGCAGTGCCAACAGGTTCCTCTTTCTCCGCATCCTCGCCAACATCTGTTGTTGCCTGAGTTGTTAATGTGAGCCATTCTGACAGGTGTGAGATGGTATCTCATTGTGGGTTTGATTTGTAGTTATTTCCCTGATGATGAGTGATGTTGAGCATTTTTTCCTGTGTCTGTTAGCCATCTGGAGGTCTTCTTTGGAAAAGTGTCTATTCATGTCTTTTTCCCATTTCTTCACGGGATTATTTGTTTTTTGGGTGTTGAGTTTGATAAGTTCTTTATAGATTTTGGATACTAACCCTTTACCTGATATGTCATTTGCAGATATCTTCTGCCATTCTGTTGGTTGCCTTTTGGTTTCGCTGACTGTTTCCTTTGCTGTGCAGAAGCTTTTTATTTTGATGAGGTCCCAATAGTTCATTTTCGCTTTTGTCTTCCTTGCCTCCGGAGATGTATTGGGTAAGAAGTTGCTGCGGCTGGCAGAGTCAAAGAGGGTTTGCCAACTTTCTCCTCTAGGATTTCTCTAGCAATCCTCTAGGATTCCTGTCTTACGTTTGGGTCTTTCATCCGTTTTGAGTTTCTTTTTGTGTATAGTGTAAGAAAGTGGTCCAGGTTCATTTTTTTGCATGCCACTGTCCAGTTTTCCCAGCACCATTTGCTGAAGAGACTGTCTGTATTCCGCAGGATACTCTCCCGCTTTGTCAAAGATTAGTTTGCCAGACGTTTGTGGGTCCATTTCTGCACCAAGCCACCCATGTTAACATCCATCCATGCATTCATTCACCTAGCCACCTCCGTTCACCAAATCTCCTCCCTTTATCCAACCACCCCCATCACCCAGCCATGCTTCCATCCACTGAAACAACGTCCAGTCCCACCCACCTACCCAGTCACGCAAGCACCCATCTATCATCTGTCTATCCGACCCCCTCCAGTGTCCAACTGTAACTTCCACTCACTCAGCTGCTATCACCCATCCATCTACCGGCCCTGTGTCCAGGCACCTTCCTATCCATTCAGCAACCACCCTTTCATTCACGTTCAGATCCCTCCATGTCTTCCCATTGTACTTCGGAAAAGGTTCTAATGTTGTCTTCAAACATTTATAGCTCTTGCTGTGCACATGGCACTATTTTAGTAGTTTATAAATATTGACTCATTTCATTTCCTTAAGGACTTTATAAGATGGGTACGATTTTTATTTACATTTTACAGATCGGCTAAATGAGGCTTAGAGAGATAAAGTGACTTGTTCCAAATCACCCAGGTAGTGAGTGGCCCTTCATAAATCTGGTTCCTACACTTCTATTTAGCCCCTTTCCCTTCCCTTTGCTTTCCTTCCCTTCCCTTTCCTTCTTTCTTTTGAGAGAGAGAGAAAGCGTGTGAGCGGGGGAGGGGCAGAGAGAGGGAGACAGAGGATCAGAAGCAGGCTCCTCTCGCTGTCAGCGCAGAGCCAGACCGTGGGGCTCGGACCCACGAACCACAAGATCATGACCTGAACTGAAATCAGGAGTCGGACGCTTAACCGACTGAGCCACCGAGGCGCCCCATCTTGTTGCCCATCTAATTCCTACTCTTCCTTCAGGTCAAGCCTGACTCCCTTAGAGGGCTGATGAAACCCAGTCCCTGTCACTTAACTGCATGGACGTTTTCTTAGAACATCTTGCAGTTGCAGCTCTATGCTGCTCATGGGATTTGTTTTTAGCCTACCACTTATAAAGGGCTCCTTATGGGCCGGTCACTGTTCTGAGACCTTTACTTAACTGAGACCTTATATTAACTCACTTAATCTTTGTAACATCTCAAAAAGGTAGGTACTGTTATTATTGCCATCTCACAAACGTGGAGTGAGCTGCAGGGACATCAGCGGGTGTGAGAGGACAGTGGTGAAAAGCATTCGTCTGTCCTGGTGCCCATGACAATCCTGCTGGTGGCTCTAAATGGCCTGGGCTGGAGGCTTTGGCTCTTTGGTCTTCAGGGTTAAGCCAACCTAAGACCAAATCCCGGATCTATCCTCTGTCAGCTGAGAGCTGGGCGGGTCAGTTTGCCTGTCCCAGCTTGAGTTTCCCCACCTGTGGTACAGCTATTTCTTTGTTGTATGTTCTCGGCCAGGTCCGTTTTCTTCTTCAACCTCCATTGTGTCATCTTGAAAAATAAGGTTAGTCTGAGGGTTAACAAAGACATTGCAGGTCCTGTGGTTTACAGTCCTGTCACGGGGCGAGTTCTCCTGGAAGCCGAATTTGAGGTGGAGATCAGGGTACAGCAAGTTTATGGGGAGGACTCAGGATCAACATTTGTGGGGAAGGGAAGGAAGCTGGATTGGGCAGGAGACGCTGGGCTGCAGTGCAGTCCCTACAAAGGCCTCAGCCGACCACGAGGGGTACGCTGCTGTGGAGACGACCTTCAGAGCTGTCCCTAATTGAGGTGAGGTCGCTGGATCTTTACACCCTCTGCATTGGGTGCAGCTACCTTCCAGAAAGGGGTGTGAGGGGCACCTGGGTGGCTCAGGCGGTTAAGCATCCAACTTTGGCTCAGGTCATGACCTCACAGTTTGTGGGTTCAAGCCCCGCATCGGGCTCTTTGCTGACAGCTCAGAGCCTGGAGCCCGCTTCGGATTCTGTGTGTGTGTGTGTCTCTCTCTCTGCCTCTCCCCCACTCACACTCTGTCTCTCTCTCTCTCTCAAAAATAAACAAACATTAAAAAAAGAAAGAAAGAAAGGGGTGTGAGCTGGGGCTGGACGGTTCTGTTCAGCCAAGGGCAATCCCTGGACAGGGCTGACAGCCGGTATCACTCTGAGTGGCCGAGGGGAGGAGGAGAGGAGAAATAAGTCCTTCAGTCCCGAAGGGGAAACTGGGTGGCGCATCACAGTATCTGCTACAGTGTGGGACACCCAGCCAGGGCTCGGTAAGCATTACTATTCACTGTCGTCATTTAGTGAATTCATTATACAGATGTGGAAACTGAGGCCCAGGAAGGAACGTAATATGCCGGAGACTGCCTGGCAAGCAAATGAGAGAACGAAGTCTTCAGCCCCGACGTTTCTGATTCTAAAAAGCTTTAAAGAACACGTCTTGCTATCTCTGAACTTTGTGAACTTTAAATTGCTGTGAATGTGTGAGCAGTTAGTAGCATTAAGACAGAAAGATGGTATTTTTAAATCTTAAGAAAAGTACCCATACTCTCTGCCCAGTTTCCCCTAGTGTTAAGTTCTTACATTATCATGATACATTGGTCAAAGCCAACACTGGTACCTTACTATTTATTAAACTCTAGGCTTCGTTTGAATTGTACTGGTTTTTCCACTGTTGTCCGTTTCCTGTTCCTGGGTTCCATCCGGTGTCCAGCATTGCCATTGTTGTGTTTCTTTAGTCTTCTCTGGTCTGGGACAGGTTTTCAGCCTTCCTTTGTTTCTTACGACCTTGACAGTTTTGAGAACTACCAGCCGGGTGTTTTGTAGAATGTCCCTCAGTTTGACGCTTCTCTCATTGTTAGACGGAGGTTATGGGTTTCGGGGAAGAAGAATATAGAGGTGAGGCGTCCTTATCACATCATATCAGGACACATGGTCTCAACATGACTTGTCACAGATGACGTCAACCTTGATCACCTGGTGTCTGCCAGATTACCATTTCCCCCTTCCCGTACT